CATTCATTCATTCATTCATTCATTCATTCATTCATTCATTCATTCATTCATTAGAAATCCTATTTAGTAAAGTGCCTAACAACATTAATTCTTTTCTCCCTGCAATTCAGGCTATTTGACTGATTCATGATAAGCATGGATTCATAGGAGGAGGATTAGATGAATGGGCTATTATCTGGACCACAGATAGATGCACAGTTGCCCCACCATCTGATTTCTTCTCCTTTATTTCTATAGTGAAATATCACCACATCACTGAGCAGTCTCATATTCACTAGATATCTTGTGCAACAGTTCCCAGTCTCTTGCTATTAGCCAGGCTGGCTGTAGCTAATCAAAATTAAAATCCATTAAGTGTATCTAGGGGTGGGGGGAGAGAAAAAGTGACAAATGGATATCATGATGCTACAAAGTAATCCCTATGGCTGAGGAACTTGTGTGGGTCATCGGAATGCAAATATGAAAGAGTGGGTTTGGCATCTTGGCATCATGCTGCAATTTCCATTATATTTTTATAGTTGCAGTTAGTAATGCCCATGTGGAAGGCATGAGGCTGCCTATTCCTGATAGCATTAAAAAAAGAAAAGAAGGAAACAGGAAAAAATGCCTTCCACTTGCAGGAACAGAAATTTGTAGTGGAGCCATTGAAAAAAATCTGTTCAAATAATGATTAGTAGGCTAATTAGAACTAGATTACATTTGCTGTGAAAAAAATGCACGTTGCCAGTTTTCATGTAAAGCATTATACGGCTGTGATGGAAAAACTTCCTTCTTATGAATGTTATCTTATTGCCAACAAACAGATTATTTCTTAAGAGATTGTATAGAAAAGAATAAACAGACAAGAAAAGAATAAACAGACATACCTTTACAGAAAAATATCTCACATCTCCGAAATAAATTGCATTCATCTTTTTGTTCCTGAAGTGTGCTCTGTACATTTGGGGGTTTGTGCATTTCATGATTTTATCAATACTAATGCGAATCAGCAAGTAGGTGTCATGTTTAACATTGACTGTGAGAGCCCTATGTTAAGGAAGCATGGGTCTTTCTGGTCAGAAAATTTCAATACAGCAAGATGATCACATAACAGCCTTACAAGAATTCAAAGCATGCTATGAAATGTAGTTAGATTTCTATATATTCAATTCTCATTTATAGGAATGGAAATTTGGTTGGAACAGTAGCTGTATTCACATATCACACTAAGCCATGATTTACTGAACAAGTCAGAAACCTAAGACTACCATACTGTATCTGGGCTGTAAAATCTACCTCGGCAGAAAAGAGAAACAGAAAACTTTAGTACTTTGCTGCCATCTAATATTTGTCTCCACTGATAGTGTAGCCTTAATCAAACCATTGTCAGTTTTGCCAGCTAAGCAAGCTGAATGAAGTAAATTCTTGGTTTGTTGCCCTGCACATTTTGGATTAACAAGAGGTTTTGATAAGATGCTAAATAATCCAGGAAACCACAAACTGACAATCAGAATAAGCCACAATTGTGATAAATGAACAAGCCACTGTTTCAAATGTGATTTACAATTAAACCATGGATTAGTTATTAATATATATTCAGCAATTAAAAATAGTGATGTTTGAAAGGAAGTAACAAGACTATTACTATATTTAAGTCTAGTAAACAATAAGCCTGTGTGGTATATTATGAAGACAGGAAAAAACAGATTTGAGCTCTGGGGAAAATATTTGTATGTCTGTTTATCAAAGGTGTTTTTTAACACAATGTCTCAAATGTATTCTATAGTTACTACAATGTTGTGAGCTTGTCAACCATGATATATATAATTTATAGTCTAGTCTTGGTCGCCTTACAGGTTCATATATCCTGCTGCTTCTACTGCACATGTGTGTCTAGAACTACAGCAACATTGATATCATATTCATGAACTTCTCACATCATGTCTAGTTATATATACTCTAAGAAAGTGCAGTTGTCAGTCAGCTACAAACACTAGGGGGAAAAAAGATACATTTGGAGGTGAAATCTTTGCACTGTTTCACATTAACTGCCAGCAGGCCAGCCTGTTGAAATAGGAAATGTCTAATAACAATTATATTCATTTCATTATAAAATCACGTGCAAGCCTGAAAAGTGTATTTAGCTGTCAGCACTCTGAGAAAGGACATTGCTATTTTAACATCATCCAGGAAAACCAAAAAATCAGCATAAGCCCTGAGCCTATGACAGCCATTTAAGATAGAATATTCTGACTTAGAATCATAGAGTTGGAAGCCTCCTAGTTCACCCCTCCACCAGGGTAGGAATCCTCACACCATCCCAGACAAATGGCTGCCCAATGTTTTCCTGAAAACCTCCAGCAATGGAGCACTCACATCTTCAGGAGGCAGCCAATTCACTGCTTAATAGTTCTCAGAGCCAGGAAATTCCTCCTAATTTCAAGACTTGCTGTACCAGAATGTCACAGATCATAACAGAATACTAAGACTGCAATACCTTTATATCTCCATCATAGGCAGATATGGTAATCTAGAATACGGAACAGTACAATCTTGTTTGGGGTGGCCTTCGCTCCTGGGGACTCTGGACACATCTATGTAGTTTTCTTGGCAATTTTACAGAAGTGGTTTGCCACTGCCACCTTCTAGGATATGTCTTAGGCTTCACAGTTTAGCTTCCAACTGTGATATTCCCAAGGGGGTCTCCCATTCAGATATTGAGAGGTCTGACTCTGCAGAACTTCTGAATCCAAACAAGGTCAGCTGAGTGCTGCCAGCTGCTGAGATGTAATGTATGTAGGCACAGGCCATTAATATTTGTAATTAACTCTAGCACAAATTAGGTTTAAAAGTTTTAGGATGAGAATAGGTTCATACAGCAAATATGATGTTTCATAATGACATCTCTCACCATTAGTCATCAAAATATATTTGCAGTCTTAAAGCAGCTGATTAGCAATAAAATGCATTGCGTGACATTGAAAAAAACATACTTAATCTACATACCACATCACCACAAGGAATTAAATTATGGATGTCAGTGGACATGTGAGTTGTTGAATCTTCATTTATCTTCTGATTTCTCATCAACATCTATAAAAAGGGATAAATTAGGCTCTGTAATTTGGACAAATATAGCTACTGGAACCTGAAAATAAAAAATGAAAATGAAAAAGTACTAAAAATCAGGCTGAAGAGCCATAACTTGTGAGGAAACTCCTTGCAGCTCTTCCATCAGCATGCACCTCAACTTTCATGCTGAATGTGATTCTCTTTCTTGAAGGAAAGAGACAATGCAATTTGCTCTGATGAAATACTTCATCTCACCTTGCAGTGCCTCTGGCCTTCCTGCCACCAAGCTGTGAAAGCTACAGGATGTGCTGTTGCTAGAACTGCAAAGCGATTCCTTAATAACTCCCCAGAGGCATAAAGATTCCTCATTGCCTTCCCAGCAGCACAAAATCCAGAGGTGCTTTGAACAACACAGATTGCTTCATGGAGGCCAATCACATTGCTTCTTTGCTTCAAGAAAAAGAATCAGATGAGATCCATGGTGCACAGCTCGTTTGAGGTGAATCCAAGTCATCTTACATAGTCCTGGTAGATAGCTCAATAAAAATATCAACCTAACATATAGCAGGAAAGAAAAAAGATCAGTTTCATGTTAGGGAGCACAAGGAAGTAGCTATGGAATAATCACAGTTGAAATACTGGACTTTTTAAAAAAAATATTGCACCCTAATAAGGATAAAAAAGGATGTGCAACCAGAACATGGAATGTGAGAAGTGTGAACCAAGGAAAAGTTTAAATTGTCAAAGTAGAAAAGCAGTGTATTAAATTGAATGTCTTAGGAATGAGTAAATTAAGTACATTAGGCTGGGTCATCTAACTAGATGCTTACATTATACTTGACTACATGATTCAGGCATGAGACCACACAAAAGGAAGAAATATCAATGATACCTCAAAGGACACAGTTCAATATATGTTTGGCTATATCCCAATAACCAATAGAATCACATCTATTAGAATGAGTGAGTACTGTATCCAGTTTCCCTGTACAAACTAGTTTCCCTTAGGAGACTCATCTTCTAATATATTTAGAGAGGGAAAGATTAATAATTTTTCAAATATCTACCCCAATGCTAATGCTTTCTGAGATGGTGAAAAACTAGAAATAATCCTTGCCATAGTCTTACTTAGCTGAGTTTTAAACAGGTGCCATACGGAACATGGTTTGCTTTCAGATTGTAAGCTGGCCATATGCAGTAGTTGATTTTACCATTTTCATCATAACTTCTCAAACATCCAAACCCATGTGCATTTTAAGAAGAATTGCAGCGTTGTGCAAGATGCTTGCACTTTGGCTATAGGATATTGTCAATGGAGAAAACTACTACTTGATAGGAGCAAAGTTATGATTGGTAATAAGTTGTGCTGAGTAATTTGCAAATGTTATTAAAATGCTTAACCTGTATGCTTTGCCAGGCTTTTGTATGCAATTTGTACTTGCAATATATTTTAAAGCTATTTAATAATAGTTCTAAAGAGATCAGTTACATTGGTCAATCAGATGAATTAAATGGCTTCAGGAAGTGCTCTGAGAATGAATAAAGATTAATATAAGGGAACTGAATAAGAGACACCTTCCTCCCCACCAATTCTATCACAGTAACAAGTAAAAAAGAATAAATTCTCTTCACAAATGCTCTTACCCTTTAGGCTAACTCTATAGAAATGAGTGGTTTTAATAGTAAGTCAAATTGAATTGGAGCTTCTAATTCTAAACACATCCAAGGCAATAGGTCTACACAACAAAGTGACTTACAAATAAAAGGAGCAGGAGGTGATCTGACCATGAATAAGCAAATGTGCATTTAGTAGAACAGAATCAGCTCTGACATTTACATACAGGTTATGCTGAGAACAGCAGAACTTTAAATGTAGGCTCAGAAAAATAGCATTCCTGTACTAACTAGGCATATAGAGTTAGATAAACATTTCACAACATAGGTTGGGGCTGAACTGGATTAAAAATGTGAAGGAAGTTAGATCTATAAATCTCTCCCTAGAAATAGGGGACATAATGGGTCCCCTGTCGCATCATCATGGTGTGATACTAGGAAATCCAGATTCAACTCTACCTGCAGTCACGGAAGCTCACAGAGTGAATTTGGGTTAGATACTACCTCTTAACTTAACCTACCTCATAGAGCTGTGGTGGGAATAACTGGAGTGATGAGTACTACATGTGTTGCCTTGAGCTCCTGGAAGGATATTAATTGAAGGAATGAATGAATAAAAAAGATACTTCTAGGTCATCCCCAAGCTTGGAATTTGGCACATTTGTAATCCAAGGTAGAGTTATTATTAGAAAAGCCTGGGAATTGGACATTTTTGTGCCTACCAGTCAAAACCTGGAGAGTGAAGTTTACCTCATAATAGAAGCCAGCATTCTAGCTCAGGGATAACCAAGTCTCAGCTAAGATGGAACGCTGGACTGTGGAAGTTCTGCTTCCGCTCAACACAGCCCTTTTCTCACCTTCTCAACTATGTTGACTGAATGCAAGAAGAAGAAAGCAGGTTTGTGCCCATCAGTTAGTCCTTAACTGGAGTGTGTTATGGGAATGGACAATTGTACAATAGAGATGCTATACATTGGCAGTCCCTCCCACTGAACAGGGAGTCTGTTTCTGTTTTGATTTGTATGTCCCGATGGTGCAATTAGAATATAAATGCATAGCATTGTACCTGCTTAAGGTCTTTTTTATTTATTTCACCTTACAAAAGGTATGAGGAGGACAGTGAGCAGTAACCTAGAATTCACTGAACTCACCTACTGAAGGCAAAAGCATTTTGGTGTACATTTGAATTGTATTAGGATTTGACAAAGGGAATTCTCATTCCCTTTCTCAGGAGCATTCCTCTATGCTTCTAGGGTGTACATTTCACTTACCAGAAAAAATGTAATCCAGAACAGAATTACTGGAGCTCGTTTTAAACTAAATCTAAAATTATGGGACGATCATAAATAGAAATTCATTTTATCACCCACTTATTGAATCAGCACCTACAATTACTCTAAAGGCAGGAAGGAGCAAATGCCTAGTCAAGCATCTCATGGAAAACTATGAAACAATGCTTACTTTATTTGTATAAGAAACTGATATGACTAAGAAATCACACAGAATTGTCCTTTCCACTAACTCAGGCTTCCTCAATGTGGTGCCCTGCAGCTCAATAAGACTACAGCTCCCAGAATTCCAGTGTCCTCATGGTCTAGAATTCTGGGTGGGAGTTGTAGTCGCACCCATTCACCAGCCCTCCAGTGGGGGAAGGCTTGACTATTCCCTGGTGCATGTGTACTTAAACCATCCAGAGTCTTGTGGAAGATTCACATGTACATGGTGCCCTAGGGCTTGCTGGCCTTTAAGGTGCCATGATCTGACTCAAGCTTGTTTGTTCTGCTGTGCCCAGCTCCTGAGGCGAGCCCTGCTATGGAAACCCTGGTTGTGTTCCAGAGAAATTGTCTAGAATGTATAAAGGCACTTCAAAGTCATCTTGGAAATATGAACAAGAAGGGACATTTTATCAAGTTTGGTGGATGTGCAAAAAAGCTAGAAAAATTTGGATTCAAATACATACACTGATTTAGAGGATTTTAAAGATTCATATACAACTGAGGCCGGTAGTCTTCCTCTTGGAACTGATAGACAAATAGTTGAAAAAAAGTGTTGGAACTTTGTTTTTGTATATGATAACCACAGCAAGATTATTGTATGCACAAAGATGGAAAGATTCAGCACTACACACAATGGAGGAATGATTGCTGAAGATGAAGCAACTCACTGAGATGGCCAAATTGACTTGATTAGAGAAAAGACAGTATCTACCTTTATTGTTGACTGGAAACCCCTTATGGACTTTTTGCAGAAAACAGAAAAAAATGAACTTATGATTTATGGTTTTGATGATTAGACAGGATAGATTATA